CATAAACTGCCACCATTTTCCTGTAGGATTAATATTTTCAAGACCATGGGTGACCATTTTCTTGGGTGACCCTTGTAGTTGATACCCAGTTGTTTTAAAATATTTTCATCATGACCATCATGATTACAAAGTATCATGATTCTCATCTGGACAAGCAGAATGAAGGTGAATGGATTGTTGGAGTATTGTATAGTTTAAACATTAGAGTATAATTAGACTTGAGATATTTTACAACATCAATCACTTTGTTTTGTTGAGAAAACAGCATAGGAATTAACCAGAGCATTTTTCTTCTGTAGCAGCAGGTATAGGAATGTGAATAGTTTTGAAAGCTACACATTGATGTCAGTGTGTATACTGTATAATTGAAATTTTTAAATATTATTTGGCTTTTTTTACAATAATTTTGTCATAGAGCATAACCATTAGTGACTGTGAATATGCAGTAGAATATTAAGCATATGACTTATATGGATTTAATCTTCTTCCACACTTGAGTTTTTGCTGTTTTAGAAAGTTAAAACACTTACTGAGAACTTTGATGCGAGTTCCTTCTCCCCACGTCTGTTCGCCATCAGTATAGTACATGAAACAGAAATAGACAGAGTCGTCTCCCTCCTGAATGTTGCTCACTGTGAGAAGATAGCTGTTCTTGGACTCATCCCTGGACGGCACAAACCGATCAGGGATCGCAGAGGGTCTGTAGATCTTTTTATCAGAAGTAAATCTCACTACTCCCTCAGGTTGTCTCCCAGGGGTCTGACGAATCCAGCGTACACTTATTCTGCTGACATTATCACCCTTAACTGAGCACTCCAGAGTGACAGATTCTCCAAGAGACACAGGGACGACTGAGGGAGACTGGGAGAAAACTGCTCCTCCTTGGACAACTGTGGATGATAAAAACAGTTTAACATTATGCTCTACAATACTGGTGTGCATTTCCTAATTCTCTTTAGAAATGCTGGAGTTTTCACAAAATTGTGCAAAATCCCAATGATTTTTCAGAAATGTCTTTTTCTGATACACCTGCAATAGGACACCCTTTTCAAATTCAGGCTTGAGATTTCTGTAATTTGACAACATGGCAAAAACATTTTATTGTCACTCATAATCCACATATTTCTCGAGTTCAGTATTGCCTTGGTTCATTGTCCTCTGTTCGATTCTTTCCTTTTGACATTCCATTGATTTCTTTCCGTTTCAAGAAGTATTTTCTAATGACTGTTTCTCTTGTTGGAATCATATACTGTTTGGGAAAAAAAGGAATGTGAGTTTTCTAATTAACAAAAAAAATAATACTTACGGGTTATAGAGACCAGAGCAACCAGGACTTGTACGTTAAGCATCTTGGACGTTGTCCTCAAGGTGTTCCAACGCTCAGTGCCCACAGCCGTTATGACTGATGGAGCTTATGAAGGGCTGATTATGAGGTATCCGTGCGTCACTCAGAGAAATCGGGGACATTTATGTAAATCAGCAGGCCGTGATTGGCTTCTGAAATGTTTTTTTCCCTTTTCCAGACATGTTTCTTGTAAAATTATTTTTAGTCATATTCTCAGATATTTTATGCAACGTAGTTAGTTTGAAGATTTTTCTTTGCAAAACAAGAGATTCTTATGACAGGGTTTTCTCAAAAGACATGGTGTTCCAGATTTCCCAATGGAAAACCAATCCATGTGATATCTTGTTTTTGTTAAAGGATGTTGGATTTAAAGAAGTTAAATTACCAATAATAGCTGATGGTGTATAAAACATGGATGATAAAAAAATGTGATGTGATTACAATAATCCAGCAATAAAATTATTCAAAATATACCATATCAGATTAAATCCAATCTATTCAGAACAAGATACAAAACAATACATTTAATCGTCAATATCAGGATCAGAATTTATTACATTCTGGACTAATGGGTGCTGGGGAGACATCAGTGGTCAGAGAGGGTGAAGGCCTTGTGTTGGATCCAGCTCAGGGGTGACAAGAAGAGAATAAAGGAAGATCAGACACCAGGGGCAGGATGCAGAGAGGACATGGAGAATTCAGGGAATGGAAAGGGAGGAGGATATCAACTGGAAGACATACAGTACATGTATGAGAGGAGGACATGAAATGAGGGACAGAAAGAAAGAAAGCGAAGGATCAGAGGATAATGTAAGAAGAAATGAAGGGTTGGATATAGGATGGGGCAGAGAAATAACAGCAGGGCTATTAATTCCCTTTGCAAACTAAAGTGGCATTATATCACATTGTGGGCATTATTTCTCAGGTCAAGATCTGGAGAATGCAGAAACGGGGTGATTGAAATTCTATAAAGAAATTACTGTAGATTGTATTATTGTATAAAGTAAACAGTTTTGCACTTGAAATTCATTTTTTGCCCCTACATTTTTTGCATCCTGTATTAATGGTTCTGCTTATTAAGCGTCTAGCATTCAAGAAATAAGGATAATAAATCCACAGAAGATTATGATTGTCATAAGGTTAGAGTTACAGAAGCTGAAAAAGTGCACGTTTCAAACTGCAAATCCATGTCATGACGAGAAGACCCAAATGCAAAGTCAGTTTTGTCTCAAGAATAACAATTAGAAATTTATGGAAACAAGTAGTTCTTGATTTACAGTACAAGGAGGTGTGCTACTTATATATGTTGTGTGATTCAAAACTGTATAAGTGAAAAACTAATATGCTTCAGTGATGTGCTCCTGGGTCATACAGTATATCAATAGTACTAAAACTAATTTTTAAATAAATTGTTAATCTTTACCAAGCTTATATAAAATGTGAAGAGAAGACATCTGTTTGTTGCACTGTAGGTAATGCAACCACAAGCACATCTGAGATACATACAAAATCTTCTGTCCTTTTCCTCTCAATGAACCTTTCAAATGCCATTTATTTTAAAATTTCATAACATTACATTGTATGATGAACAATTTAAGCTGATCCTTCAGAAGTCAAACTTCTTGCAATAAAGGAGCTGATGTTTTGATGTATTCCTGGGCCATGAAGATCAGTTACTCAGAGGTGTTCAGCACACACAGAGGCTCCAGGGATGCCATGAACTGGATCAGTAAGATTTAGCACAACTGTCACTGATGCTTTATAAAAACAGGTAATATGACTCATGATGTAAGGTGAGACTGGATGCCTCATTATACCCAGTAACCTTCACATACTGTAAATCCCAGCAATTTGTCTTTCTGGTGATGAACATTTGACAGTTGTTTATTCAGTGCAGACGGTTCGTAAGGATTAGGGAGATCTGGGAATTTCAGGTTTCAAGAATTGAAGTTCTGCTTTCAGTTTATTATGAAAATAAGAAATGCAAAAGGAATTACAATACAAGGTGTTATTTCTAAGGAGGTGCCATATCCCCGGAAAGACTCAAGGCTTTTGAAGAGATTAGATGGCTCATCTGATGATTAAAACATAATTTGGGAGGTTTCTTCCCTCCCCAATATTCATTGCAAGAGGACTTGGTAGCAATAAACACTACTGAAGAGTGAAGGTCCCGCCCACATGAAGCACAGACTTCCTGTTATGCTGAAGGTCCCGCCCACCTGTCGTGGAAGCTTCCTGTTTTGCTTTGTTTATGAGTTCTGTCCATTTATTTCTGGCCTGGGGTTTCCCCATCAGTGCTGCAACTTCTCGTTCCTCAGCTAGAGAACACTTTTTTTGTAAACAAATTAATTTAAAAGAATGTCATCAGGTTATAAAAGACAACAGCACCACTTTGAATAACAACACGTTTCAGGTGTGTGGCTGAGTTCATGAAGGCTTAATAGCGTTGGATTGTGATGTATTGACAACAGGAGGCAGGAGGAGCTTCAGTTTTTAGTCATGGGAATACAAGATCTATATGGTTATAGAAAATGAACGGCTGCGTTACTTAATTAACCGTGTTTAACGCATCATCCATTCCTTTATAGTTCAAGTTAGTAGCTCTGTCAGCATGTGCAGGCTGCAAAAGAACAAGTCGATATTTATCCCACCCTGAAAAGAGTAGAAAAGAAGCAGAACATTATAGCTGTTGAGCCTTCTTCGGATCTCACACCTGAAGAAGGCTCCATAGCCGAAACATCGTGTTTCTTTTTTTCTCTTTTCAGCATTGAATAAACCTTTACTTATCCATTGCTTTATGTCATATGAGTGAATGTAATGTAAGTATTCTGCATCATGTGTGTTATTGACTTACCCTTAAAGATAAACACCAAAAAAGTGGAGGTTTATGAAGTATTTTAGCTCAAGGTATTTTATTCCGCTGGTCTAAAGTGCTTAGATGTAACAGAATGGAGTGCACAAGACTACTAATACTTTATACCTTGAAAGTATTTTAATACAGCAAAGAAAATCTCTGTTCTCAGAGAGCAGTTTTGGGTGTTTCTTCTTTACTGTCTTAGTGATACCACTGGAGTGCAGACCAGACCAAAGTGATGAAACACCTCAGGGGCTTGAACAATAAATAATGCAGGATAGCGTAACTTTTCACTGAAACCTAATGAGATGGGAATATACAGGTAACAACTGTGTTTAGAACTACAGAACAGGAGATAACAATTTGTACCTGATCATCCATCATCCATTATTTGTGTCTTATTAGTGAAACAGGAGGGGGTGTATAAGTTACTATTATTTAAATTACCAGTCCTTATCCAGGGGTTGCCCACTGTATGCTAAGTGCTTGTGTTTTATTTGTATACATTTCTGTCTTCAAAGGCCACAAACCAGACTAGTAGATTTTTTAAACTTCCACAGACCACCACCAAAACACAACACGTTCAATAAGCTGTTTTCTAGATGATCTTTTTTCTAGATAATTTGCTGATGCCTGAAAAATCTTCTTGATAGTGGCCCTTGGAACTAAAATTGAAGAACTGTGCCAAAACACCTCATGGAACCAAACACCGTACTGTTTCCCTCCGAGTTTCCCTTTCATGGGGAAAGGTGTGTGTAAAGCAACATATTAATTTATGAAATATTAAACAGAAAACTCAGATCAGACCGGATTCATGTCTTTATCATGCTAGAGTTGAAGCGATACATTAGAAGAAGACATTTTAATTGCAGAGATCATACATCTTGACATTTGCGTTCACATAACAGCATGCTGAAGCCTCTCGAGCCACCAGGGGGCGCTCAGCAGCCCTGCGGGGTGATGGATGCTATGACGGGCGTGGGGCTGGACTCGTGCTTGGCGATGCAGGAGTAGAGCGCGTGAGTCTGCCACTCCGCCGCGGGCAGGCTCAGGGAGCTGCTGGTGACGTAGGTGTTCTGGGCGGCGTTGGCGCTGTCCAGCCACACGGGGGCGCTGTGCACTCCGCTGGTGACCGGGGCGCCGTCCACACTCCAGCTCACGTCGACGAAGCCGGGGTAGAAACCGCTCAACAGGCAGGTGACCGTCACTGAGCCGTTAGCGGAGACCTCTTGTGTGGGCGGAGGGAAGAGCTGGAGAACAGGAGGGGGGAGGCCGCTTTCTGTAGGAGCAAGGAAATGGAAAATGAGCTTTTCAAATCCTCTCTTTACCTGTGTGCCTGCATAGTGTGGTGTTTCATCAATTCAGGTGTGTGAAAGGCAAACATATTATGAAACATGGGTTTTCTTGCCTATTCCATATATCTGTTAGATGGGTTAATCAGTTTATATTAACCCAACTTTATATAGAGTCAAGTTATCTTGCAGAAAATAATTCTGCTTCACTCATGGTTTTGGGATAATTTAAAACACAATTCTAAACTTTTTTATTTGCTGTTGGAATGTTTTGGTAATATTTAAAATTTAAGTTGGATAATGCAGTATCATTTGCTATCATAGGTCTTGCTCTGTGCCATTATGAAAGACACTTTACTCACATATAAACTACTACCTGAGCTGATACAACCCGTGACTATGAGCGCAACAAGAATTTAAACATCATCTCTTAGAAAGGCAAAAATCATTGGTGAAGGTAAACAATTTATCTGTAATATAAAATGTAATGTGTGGGGAGTGAAAACGAGCATATTAAAATGTAAATAATTAATATTGAAATGAATTACATTAATACTTAATACTTAATAAGTGTTAATAAGAGTAAGATTTGTCCTGCACAGGCATACAGTAGCTACATTTTCATGCCCTTACCAAAATTATTGCAATTCAGCTGCATACCTGGAAAAAATACTGTTGTATCATGAGATTGGGGTTACTGGGGATACCCCAGGAGTATCACAGCAAGCAACGGGTGCAAGGTAGGATACAAACTGGACAGAACACCAGTCCTTTGCCAGACAACTCGCACACACTCGCACTGGGGCCGATTTTCCCAGAAGCCAAATAACCTACTGGTGTGTCTTTGGACTGTAGGAAACTGGGGCACCTGGAGAACACCCACATGACCCCAAGGAGAACATACAAGCTCCACATAGACAGCACCCCAGGAATTGAACCCAGAGCGCAGCAATGCTCATCAATGCACTACGTGTTTTGTGTAATTCTGCCAGCTTTCTTTCTTCTAAGAATTTTCTGAACCCTACAGTTATCCTATGATGTAAATTGCTGGTGATTGTTCACTCAGTCTCCTTCTTTAACACATGTCTGGACCGACCAGGAAGAAGAAGAGAGGAAGCAAAATCCTGCTGATCCTAAAGTGAATTATTTTCCTGTAGGGAATACAGTAAATATTTTCAAAAAAAGGGGGGTGTAGTTTCACCTGGGTGTTTTTCAAAAAATGTTTTAAAGCATAATCAAATATTTTCGAAAATAATAAAGATAATTATGATTTGCAAACCGTCATTATTCTCACCCGGACAAGTAGACTGAAAGTGTACGGACTGATGGATTAATAGAGACATTCAACATCAGAATATAAGTAGACACAAAATGAAATAAAATACATTATTTGTTATTTTTTTGTTAAAAAGCTGCATGAGAATTCACCATTATTCTTCTGTGGCAGCAGGTAAAGGAATGTGAATAGTTTTGGAAGCTGCACAATCAAAATGATTTGCATTTATTTTGTTAATGTCCTAGAGCGCCAAAGACAGCTGGTTATACAGTATCTAAGAGGTGCTTTATTTTTAATAATGGTGATTTCAATATCATTTAGCTTCTTTAATAGTTTTATGCATCGATGTCATAGAGATTAAGCATTAATCATAATGATTATAGAATAACATACATGTTATTTATATACTGTGGCATTCAGAGTTATCTGTTTGTTTTTGCTGTTTTAGAAAGTTAAGACACTTACTGAGAACTTTGATGCGAGTTCCTTCTCCCCACGTCTGTTCGCCATCAGTATAGTACATGAAACAGAAATAGACAGAGTCGTCTCCCTCCTGAATGTTGCTCACTGTGAGAAGATAGCTGTTCTTGGACTCATCCCTGGACGGGACAAACCGATCAGGGATCGCAGAGGGTCTGTAGATCTTATTATCAGAATTAAATTTCACTACTCCCTCAGGTTGTTTCCCAGGGGTCTGACGAATCCAGCGTACATTTATTCTGTTGACATTATCACCCTTAACTGAGCACTCCAGAGTGACAGAATCTCCAAGAGACACAGGGACGACTGAGGGAGACTGGGAGAAAACTGCTCCTCCTTGGACAACTGTGGATGATAAAAACAGTTTAACATTATGCTCTGCAATACTGGTGTGCATTTCTTAATTCTCTTTAGAAATGCTGGAGTTTTCACAAAATTGTGCAAAATCCCAATGATTTTTCAGAAATGTCTTTTTCCGATACACCTGCTATAGGACACCCTTTTCAAATTCAGGCTTGAGACTTCTGTAATTTGACAACATGGCAAAAACATTTTATTGTCACTCATAATCCACATATTTCTCGAGTTCAGTATTGCCTTGGTTCATTGTCCTCAGTTTGATTCTTTCCTGTTTAAGATATTCCATTGATTTCTTTCCATTTCAAGAAGTATTTTCTAATGACTGTTTCTCTTGTTGGAATCGTATACTATTTGTAAAAAAGGAATGTGAGTTTTCTAGTTAAAAAATAGTACTTACGGGTCACAGAGACCAGAGCAACCAGGACTTGTACGGTAAGCATCTTGGACGTCTTCCTCAAGGTGTTACAACGCTCAGTGCCCACAGCCGTTATGACCGATGGAGCTTATGAAGGGCTGTTTATGAGGTATCCGTGCGTCACTCAGAGAAATCGGGGACATTTATGTAAATCAGCAGGCTGTGATTGGCTATGGGAAGGTTTGTTTTCTCCTTTTCCAAGCATGTTTTTGACCAGCTATTTTTAGAGGTAAGGTCAGGTGTTTAAATTTGCTGGGAGAAAGATTTCTGCTTTGAGGAAAGATTTCTGAAATGAGCTGTTGGAGGAGAATTCCATGAAGGCAGAAGATGGCCCTTCCCCTATTGATCTGCATGGAAATCATAGACATACACAGTAGGTCTCCAGTGCTATGCTGATGAACAATAGTCTTCTAAAAGGGTCAGTAAGGCCTGTGAATTAATGGTAATTAATCTACTTAGCTAGTGCTGTCATCCAAGATGTTCTGCCTACACTGTGGACAATCAGTGATCTACAAAAAAAACAATACTAAAATACACCATGAAGAAGGGTTTAAACAAAAACAGCCATGGAAATCTCATCTTAATCCAACAGCTGAAAGAATATAGGAGGCACAAATTACTGTAATGTTGGAACATATCAAATGATCTGCAGCTGTATTTTGGACAGGTAGAAGAGGGGTGGAAAGAGGACAGAGACATGTGGATCTACCACAGGATGTGAAAATGCAGCAGAAAATGTTGCAGAAAGAGGAGATGGAACAGCTGAAAGACCAGGAAACAAAGAGCAGAGTAGGAGAAAAGATAGGAACTGGAGAGAGAACGGAGAAAAGTGATGAAGAGACCTTCCACAGGGGTTACAGAGGGGAAAAGGAGCTGTACAAGAGGCAAGAGGGAGAAGGAGCAGCTGAGAGACCAGCAGATGAGAGGAGACCAGAAGATAAAGAGACACTGTACAGTGAGGAGAAGGAGCAGCTGAGAGACCAGTAGATGAGAGAAGACCAGGAGATATCAGAGACAGTAGAGAAAGGAGAAGCAGAAGCTGAGAGACTAGGGGAAGAGGAGCAGAGTGGAAGAGAAATGAGGAGATGGAGAGAGAAGAGGGCAGAGTGATGAAGGAGCAGCTGAGAGACCAGCCGATGAGAGGAGAGCAGGAGATAAGAGACACTATAGAGAGAGAAATAGAAGCAGCTGAGAGAGCAGGAGACGTAACTGCAGATAAACAGGGAACAGCAGCGTGGTGAAGGAAACCTTAAATTTGTGATTTTTGAGATCAGTGTCAAATAACTGCTTTGAAATACAGTTTTTTTTTTATTATTGTATGGTTATCAAAAGAAGATGAATTTAAGGGTTTATCTCAATTTGTTGAAATACTATATATACAGTACATTTCATTGATTGTAACATCACCTTGTTTGAGCATTGTACCACATCAATAAACACCCTCATGGTAGTACTGGTGTAGCTCAGTGATTCAAAATTCTAACTATTAGTACTTTTAGCTAAATACAGTATGTCCATCTATTTGAAGTAACTGTGCCATCCAGTCACCTGTGCAGGAGAGAATTGAGACACACCAGTTAACCTGCACAGCGTGTCTCTTTAGAGAGAATGTAGACTCCACAAAAACAGCTGTCTGAAATCAAAACCAGGATCAAAGTTCACTGAGACTGCAGTGCTAACAGCCACACCTCTGTACCACTATTTTGAAATATGTCTCATAAAAGGTATTGTTACAGAGGAGACTGACTAGATTCAGGATAAAAGTGAGTATAATCCTCAGCAAACCTCTAATTTTCATAGGATTTCAGCTCTTGAAGTTTCTGGAGCAGAACACACATGCATGTTTTAAATGCTTTGCAAAAGTTTTGTTACTGGCTCTAAGGTTCAGCTTCATGATTAATAATAATAATTGCTTACACTTCTATAGTGCTTTTCTGGACACTCCACTCAAAGCGCTTTACAGGTACTGGGGACTCCCCTCTACCACCGATGTGCAGCATCCACCATCTACGGCAGCCATAGTGTGCCAGTCCACTCAGCACACAACAGCTATTAGTGGGGAGGAGAACAGAGTGATGAAGCCAATTTATAGATGGAGATTATTAGGAGGCCATTATTTGTAAGGGCCAATGGGAAATTTGACCAGGACACTGGGATAACACCCCTACTCTTTTCAAGAAATGCCCTGGACTTTTTAATGACCACAGAGAGTCAGGACTTTAGTTTTATGTCTCATCCGAAAGACAGTGCCTTTTTATAGTATAGTTTCCCCATCACTATACTTTGGAATTAGGACCAACCTAGACCACAGGGTGAGCGCCCCCTGATAAGACCTGATTAAGGTCTTTATTGATCTACACAAATGGATTCTAAGGCATAAATCAGGCTTTTACTTCAATATAGTTTTTAAGAAAGTGTAATCTTAAAGTTAAATCTTAAACGCTATGTGTAATGTGCAGTAATCAAATCAAGAGAATCAAAATAGTTTCAAAATTGCAAAATCTTCTTTTGCATAATGTTATGTCTAGAACTAACAGCCCTGCTGCCTGTGAGTTGTCTGTGATTACATTTTAAGGGGATAGCAGAAGCACAGGATGGTCTCAGGAGAAAATGGTCATTGCAAACTCTCTACATTCCAATGGAAAAACACAGAAAAAATTGAAAAAAAAAATCCCTGTTTTGAAAATCAGGTCTAATACGTGCGGAAGCACCACCTATTTAGTTCCAATGTAAAAGCCGAAGTGGTTTTCGTTTAAAGTTCAGCAATGAAAAGAATTTAAATTGAAATTTTAGTTTAATAAACTATGACAGAGCTGTCCCTGGCCAAGGGCAAGGGGGCAGTCCCACTGAGGACAAAATAATTACCTCTGTGTCCCTCTGGAAGTGAGACACCCCATAAAATCTATTTGTCAAAGTTTGAACAGAAAAGAAAAGAAAAAAAATGTTGTTTTGGAGAGTGAATGATTCTCCTCACAAGAAAAAAAGGTATACCCTCATACTGTATATAAATTTCCTTAATATATATATAAAAAAACTTCACAAAAATTGTGAAAAGCTGTTTGTAGAAACCATTGCACAGTGGCAATTCGCAATCACCAAATTTTCTTTTTTTTTCTGGGTTTTCTCCTCTCCATCTATGGGGTGAATATAAACTCATTACCTCTTTTCCTCTTTCTCCACCTGTCTGTCCCTTAGGAATTAATACCTTCCATTCCCCTTGAGTGAAATAATCCGCTGTGTTCTTACAAATGGGACTTAAAACCATGTAGCAGGTGTGGCACTTGTCAAGATCTGCAGAAGACTCCTTTGACCCAATAGCATTGCCTAATGGGATCTAAGAAAACCAGATAGTAAAAATGTCAGGGGTTGCTTGCTAAGCCCTACTGTACTTTGAGTTCGTTTTGACGTTTGACTAAGCAAAAACCAACCGACCTAAAAAGAAATTACAACAATCATTTTGATGGTGTTAATTCTTCCAGAAGAACTCAAACTTTGTAGGCAGTGCTGAAGTTAATTTTGCCAAATAAAACATGATTTGGGAGGTTCATTTGCTCCCATATATTAATCACAGGAAGACACAGATACAGCAAACTCTACATAGGAAGTGAAGGAAGGTCCTGCCCACGCTTCCTGTTTTGCTGAAGGTCCCGCCCACCTGCCGTGGAAGCTTCCTGTTTTGGTTTGTTTATGAGTTCTGTTAGTATATTTCTGTCCTGGGGTTTCCCCATCGATGCCTTTTCGTTCCAATTAGAGAGCGTTTAATAAACAGATTCATTTAGATGGACTTCATATTCTCAAAAACAAAGCGAAATACAAATTTAGTCCATTTAATGTTGTGTTTTGTATTCCTACACCGAAAGAAACTTACCCATACACCTGTATGGATTTTCTGAGTGCATTTACACAACAATGAGTGAAAAAAAACATAATCTGACTGTACAAAGAAAATATATTGATTTATTTAGTAAGAGTCAGATGGTCTGTGGTTCAGAGACAAAGAGTGTCGGACAGGTCGGTTGCTAGCCGCGCCAATGTGCGTTAAAATGAGAATTAATTTATCCTAAATGAACTAGTACTGCATATATTCTTGGAATAAAACGTGCAAATATGCCAATTTAAGAGAGCATAAATCTAGAACTAGCTTTATAAATCCCCGCGTGAAAGCCCAGTGTCTTAAGCGTGTTACTACAACCCACATTAGAGAAAAGACTGGAGAAGTCCGTTTTTTTTGTCTTTGCAAATGATGTACAGTACCGAGTACGCAGAATGTCCGGCTTCAATGCCAGGCATGCTCTGAACGCAAGGATAAGTCTGCTTAGCACCTTTTAATTTCACTCATAATCGTTTGTGTAACCTAACGCTATGTGTCCATTCCATCTTGACTGGAAGCATTGATGAAATGGGACTGTTTCTCGAGGCCTTTTTCCTTACAGTAGAGTACAGATTGATTTGACTTGTTTGCGCATTTAAAAATCACAGATAATCTTTTTTTGTAGCATTCTGTGAGCATGTACTGTATATACTGTATTGGTTTGGACCTCATTGGTTTGGAGTTATTATAGAGGAGGAATTCAGATTTCGAGTGGGTGCTGAATTGAAATATCACCGGCAGTACACGTGTGTGGATACGGTGTGTTGTCTGATCAAAGTATTTGGTGCTTACGTTTGTATTTCCACA